CACACGCGAGCACGCATCGTTGTGCCAGCACAATTGCTTTCCTCTTAGATCCCAAAGAAAAGTTGAAGTGCAGTGACCCTAAATCAGAGAAGTTGGTAAGTTGAGTGCTTAGATCATCTAAAGATACATATCGCAATATTTTTGACCATCGTGGGGAAATTGTCATACAGCCTTGCCTGCAAGATAAGCCAATTATGAAATAAGCAAGAGCGATCGATGCAGCCCATTGTTGCAGGTAAGTTAGAGCAAGTTTTGAGAAGTTGGTAAGTTGCCGTGCAGGCTTGTGTTTAGCGGGTAATTTGGGAAGCTTATCAAGAAGTGGTTGCAAAGCAGACTAAGGTTCCTAAGACTAGGTTCCTAAGTACGGAATCTTGAAATGTGGAAAATTTGTGACTTAAGGGAAGATCCTGTGGCAAGCTTGGCATAATCAGAGCACCAACATGAAAGCCAGCGAAAACAGAAGCATATGACCAAAACAAGCTGTCCAACTGGCGTTCTTGTCTGTAGGATACAACAAGCTTCTGTAGGTCTCATCAGTGTCAACTCCTTTGCTTGGGCCGATAAGTCTGATAAAACATTACGCTTGCCACTTTGCAGCCAAGCCTCACTATGCAGGTACAGGCTGCTTTAGGACTCCAAGCCGTGACTTCAAGCTGTGCTAATCTTTATAGGCCGTTTGAGATTAGCCAGTATGCTCTTGAAGAGTTGCTAAGAACTGATAAGTTGGAACCTTGCTTTTGGGGTAAGTTAGTAAGTTGGTAAGTTGGTGAGTTGGTTGCTCTGGTGAGCCAGTAAGTTGAGATCAGGCTGTTGCTTGGCTGCCGAAGCTAATAAGTCCATGGTAAGTTGTTTGTGCCAGTTGTTTGTACGTCTGAAATTGCAGTCAAGGTTTAATAGCTAAATACGGCTTGGGCAGAAGAAAGCAAAGAGCGAAGGAGCAAAGCCTGACAGTGATATACATGCATAAACAGGGCTGTGTTTCATCAAACTGTGGGAAAGCCACAAAGTGGGCCACAAAATTAAGAGTACGAAGCAAATTGGTAGCTCAATCAATGTAAAAGTGTTGGGACTCCACCTCCAAGATGCTCACCAATGCCAATCTACTCACAGTGCTTCCAAAGAAGAGTGCCTCTTTCGAGCTTTCCGGGAGCTTCCTGCGTTGTACTGCCTGCCTGAATGTAATGCATGATGATTTGGGTCTTAAAGTGCTAGCGATATGTCGCAGGTTAAGCCTCAGCGATGTACAGAAAGTTTTCACTTCCCTCTATAACACATCCACATTACCAGCCTCACAATGCTAGCGTTAAGACTGGGGACATTGAGCTCATTGAGAGCAAAAATCATCATCATCCAACAAGATTCACAGGGGGTCAAAATTCCGGTTAGGCTTACAAAGTACCGTGGTCCGTATGGCCCTAGGTATATGGGACTGGTTACCGTATATGTAAACGGCATGAAAATTTAACCTTACCGGTTAAACCTCCTCGTTCTGCTCTTGGCAATTTGCATATGGCATTGTCGGTTGTCCATGGCGAGCTTTATAAAGTTTGAGCAGATGTTGGATCTAGCCAGCTTTAAGTTTCAGTGCAACTTCAAGGCAGGCGGCCTTGCAATCCTACATCTCAGTTCTTGGAAGAGGAAGCGGTCGTTTTATATCATGCAAACCTTATTCCAGATGACGTCATCTGCCCCGCTTAAGGACCAGCCGTCACTCTTGGAGAACGAATGGGTTGGCTTAGCTGCGGGCATTTATGCTGAAGTAAGGCGCTCAACAACGTAAAATGTACCACCTTTTTGCACTTCTTGTCATGATCACATCTCGCTTGATTTAGAATGTATGTCCTTCATCGTACAGATTCAATGTTCTCTGCACGCTGGGGCATAATGGAAAACACACAATGTGAAAGGATGGCGCCTTGTTGCTCACGTAGTGCTTGGGGCATAAGCCAGGTTGGCATCTTCTAATCTTTCGCGGTTTGATTCTGGTCCCGATAAAAGATACCATTCAGAGATCAGACGGTGAAGTGTTAGACAAGAAATAGTCAAGGAGGGAGGCTTTATTTACTGGAAGAAACTCGATGTCAATTTGATCAGCAACACTCAAAGAGAATAACGGCCCTTCAACTTTGTTCCTTGAGAGTGGGCGCCAGCTGCGATTGCCTGTGTACAGCAATAGAATCAGGATCTGCCGCTTAGCTAGCCCCCTTTCGGAACCAGCTATCTCTTTCTTCATCATGTCCCTTCTGTCAGAAGGGGGTTGATGTAGTGGGGCCTGAGCCATGTCTTTCCTTGTCAAGTCCTTTCTGTCAGAAGAAGTTCAATGTTTGGGGCCTGATCCTACACCGCTCATTTGCGAACTCGAGACAAAGGCTTGCAATCAGTTGTCCACGAGCACCGGGTCACACACAGAAGGCGCCAGTCTCAAAGACGTATCAATTCATCAATTGTCTAATTGCAGTGACCAGATCATCGAATCCAGAAAGGACCTTTGCGCAGTGCGTACCATTACAAGTCAAGCATGCAAAAACTAGACGAAGCAAGAAGACATTTCTGGAGATTTTATCCAAGCGGTCTTGTAACTTCAATGTGAATGGAGCTTCTAGAGACACAGGCACACAAAATGGAGAAGCACGAAAGCAGAGAATAAAGAGCCATTCACAAGCTAATACTATCTCTCCCTTGTCGCAGGCCTGTTCCGGGCTGTCCTACTGTTTCGCCGTCTACTCCGAGCACCTCAAAGAGACCCTTAACTGGTCCCAGACCCAAATCGACGGGCTTGGATCAAGCAAGGACTTCGGGGGCGGTTACGGAGTACCGGCAGGGTTGCTTTACAACTTCTATCCCCCCTGGGTGTCGGTGTTGATTGGGGCCAGCTTCAACCTAGCAGGCTACCTTGGGGTGAGTCGGATTGTTGTTGTTCGTCCCTTCTTGAGATCTAGTTGGGTTAAGACTGGAAAAATAATGGTGGCCTCGAATGAGCTCTGCTGAGCTGTTTGATACGGACTCTGAAAAAGAAACCTTCTCCAAAACTGCCCTGACAAATAAATCTCTCAAGAAAGTAGACCGTGACCTTAGCAACGAGGATGGTCCATGTCCCTTCTTGGAGTCTATAGCACCAGCCAATCAACAGCATTCATGGTGCTTTCGTTCAGATGAGGTGCCGATGGTGCTTCTCTTTTTATGCGATTGTTTCCAGGCTCGCTGTCATTGCCCTTGTCCTCGGTACAGCCAGTCTGCAGAAAGTTCAATCTTACCTAAGCTCCACTCTTAGAGTCCACGACAAACAACCAACTCAGCCACGTGCTTGCTTGGGCTAACACTGGCTTTGCTTATGCAGATATGGCTGACAAGCCTCAAGCTAATCGCACCCCCGTACTGGCTAGTCTGCGCATTCATGGTGATAGGATCCAACGGAGAGCCCTGGGTTTCGACCCCAGTAATGGTCACAAAGTGAGCTTGGGTTCTCCATCAATCTCTGTTTATCTGCTTATTATTGCGAACATTCCCTGATAGTTTTGACAAAACCAGTGTCAACTCGCTGTCAATCATCCCTTGAGGGTTGTCAGGAGTGGCGCCCGATGCAAATTAGCCCTGGGGAATTAGGTTTTGCATATCCTCCGACTCAGGGCTTTAAGTTTTATTCACGAAGGCCGCTGCAGAAGCTGGATCAGATTTCTCTCTTCGGAACAATTTGTCAGTTGAACTCTCAAATATGATCCAGAAACAAAAAGTCGGGTCAATGACATCTCTGTAATCTGGTCCGACATGCTTCGCGGAGCTCTTCCACTCTACCTGCGGCCGTATGGACCATTCCTAGCATGCTGACAAGTTTCGCAGTAACCCAAAATCTCGCTTTCCCTCCACGTTCGCATCACGATCTGTCACTTCTTTCGAAAGAGAGTCGCTACCTTTCACTTCTTTCGAGAGTGAGTGCCGACCGCAAGTCTCTTGCAATTCCCAGCCCATCTCAGTGACAGCACGCTGACGTCATCCGCCCATCGTTCCCCAGCATGCAGACCTTTCCGACAGAGCGAGGCCACGTGGTCGGTCTCCTGAAGGCATACCTCGGACTGAGCGCCGCAATGTTTGCCCGTGTAAGCGACGCTCCTCTCACGTTCCATCGAGACCCTTTCAAGCAAGCAGCTTCTGGAGTGACCGTTGTTTGTTTCATCGAAGTGACCCTTGCGCCACAAGCCATGCTGATTGCTCGGATGTGAAGCTCACAGAAACTCGTTTGCTGACGAAGCCGCCCAAAAAGGTGGATTCTCTGACGGTGCAAGCACGTGGAAGCAAGGCCACGTAAAACCCGCGGTCCCGACTTCTGTCCGTGTTTCTTTGACGGCCTCTTCTTTTTGACCGTCAGAAACCTTCGGTCAGATCCAGTAAGTTGTGCCCATCCTAGAGCTTTCACCCACCCGACCCCAAAGGGGTTGCGACCAGAGCTCTTAAAATGACCAGTCTGTATGCCGCGTTGTATGAGGCACATGTTTCACGTGCTTTTTCAAACCACTCCACATTCTGGAAAACAATCAACAAAATGAAGGCACAGACGTCGAAATGGGCCTCCTCCTTTTTCTCCCCGCAGATCTACACGAGCTTCTTCGACGGCTACGCAAGCCGCTTCATTCTCCTCCAAGCCATCGGCCCGTTTGTGGTACTAACCGCTGTGATGGCGTTCGTCAAACCGTACCCCAACAAGCACGACACCGAGCCGCACGAAATCGAGAAACGGATCCGGTGGTCGTATGTGAGGCCGTGTCCTTCCGCTTTCCGCCTCAAGCTTCGCTTCCGCTGTCCGCCTTCTGCTAATGAATCTTGTCCAAGAATTTGATCGAAGATGCTACTCTGACGAGGCTAGATACGTTTCCGGTGGTTGAAAGTAACTTTCAAAAATCTGCATGTCAGCTGCGGATGTTACTGCGCTGAAGCTGTACCAGCCGCTTTGACACGCGGGGTTGCTCGAAACCTTGGAGCAGACACGAGAGATTCATCATGTCAATTTCAAACCTTCGTGCGCTAAAATTGCTTGCTGCGTTCGTACTGCGCAGATCCGATTTCGTGAAACTTACGGGGAGACAGCTTACGTTCTTCCCTTTCGTTTGCAGTGCATCATTCTGATCCTGGCGGGATACCTTTTCATCACCATTGTTCTTTCGGTAAGCCCCTTCCTGTGCTCTCTTCTTCTGTCAAGCCTCATCTGTTACTGTTTGACCTTTCGAAGGGGAGCCATACAGACATCTGCGTAGGTATTTGGGCAAGCCAGCTTCTTTGGGAGATCAGTGTCTCGCATCGGGATACTGGTGACTACAGTAAAATGGAACGCTTTCGCGTCGACACGATTAAATTGTCTTTCTCAAATATTCCTGGCTGGCTTGACTGCCTCGTTGGGATTTTAAGCGCCCGCTTGGCTACCGCTTTTCGATGGTTGATATGGGACTCGTCAGCGTGTCCAGAAGATCCTTCAATGCGATACGTTGCGGATCTGCCAACAGTATTGCAGGGGTTTCAAGTGATTTGGCGAAAGCGCGACCTGGACTGGAATCCCCTGCTTTCCAACACGACGAAATACATGCACGAGCACGAGGGTTCAGCAAAGGGGCAGTGCGTCCTGGGTATCATGTTATCAGACCTGATCCGAACGGCCGTAACTCGATGAGAAATAGGTTTAGGCCCTTCGATCTCTGCGTGATAGGAGCTGATTCTGGCAAAGTTGTCGTTTCCTGATTACAGGAAGTTTTTGTGTTGGGCGTGGCGACTCAGCGGGCGCTGACCACAATCATGATCGCCATTCTTTTCCTGCCTTTGGCAATGCCGGTGAGACGCCCAACCGTCCTGGTTAACTCTGCTTTCGAATTGCAAACCTCACCTTACCCGCGGCCTCTCAATGGGTCCCTAGTCATCAGAGTCGCCGGATCATAAAACCAAGGCACCTCGGTGACCGGGATTTGAACCCGTGTCCTCGATTGATCTTCGTAGACTCCTTTATCTATCTCCGCCAAAAACAATGCTCAACCTGCTGCACACTTTTGATTTCCCTGGTCCATTTTGGGATAGGGAGTCGTCTCGAAGGCCGAAAATTTCCAAGGACACGATTTTGCAGCCCGAACAACCAGGCAAGACCCGTGAAAGTACTTCCGAAACTAGGTTCCGCTCGCGAGGTTGCCCTAGTACGCTTGATCTCGAGCTTTCTTGCTTGCTGCCGAGCCACAATGTCCGCTCACTGGGACTGATCTTCAGTCTTCAGTTTCTTCTGCTCATATCCTTTTGATCGTTTCCCAGTTTTTCGGACGTCCGCGGTACAAGCACGTCTCGAGCGATTTGGACGCCCTCAATCCGGACGACGAGGAGAGCAGCACGCTGCTGCAGGAGGAGCCCGTTCACACCGACAAGCCCGTTCACCTCGAGATGCCGGAACTCACTCTTTACGAGAGCGTGCAGACTGCCAATTTCTGGTGAGAATACTTACCGATTGTTTAGCGTGATTTGAAGACTAGCGGCTCGTGTTGGTTCATTCCTTCGATTGAGTGGCATGCTGGTGCCAGGGTCTGCCTGTTGACCGCCTCTTGGCGAAGACTCAAACAATTTCCAAATGGGTTGACAGCGATACAGGGCTTAACTAGTAAGAAGGCAGTCTGATCTACGGAACGATTGAGCCAGAATCGACCTAGTATGAAAACCCGATCTCTGACTAAGCAACGCAGTCGGGTCTCTTGTTTACGTTCGCTCCTTGTACCTTTTTCAGGCTGACGACTACTTTTGCATGAAACCTGATTATTGCAGACACAATTCGCTAAGTGTCCCCTGCCGACCCGAAACTGCTTAGATCGTATGCATGAGCACCTCCAATCCAGCCAGAAAATGTGTCAAGGTCCACGCCGATCGTTGGATTCTCTGGATGCAAGTTCTCACTCTGTGGCTGACGCCAAACCTTACGACCGGAAACCCATTGATTCAGACCTGCGAATCCTTTTCAGGCTGTTTGCTGCAATCATTGGGGCGGGCACGGGCAGCGGCCTGACGATCGTGAACAATTTCGGGCAGATTGCGCGCTCGTTCGGGACGTCGCGCGTTTCGTCGTTCATCTCGCTGTTCAGCATCTGGAACTGCCTCGGGCGCCTGCTTGCTGGGTGAGCAGTCGTTACAGGTAGCGGCTTAAGAATCTTCCAACACATTGCTAACCTGCGCGCTCAAGAATCTTCGCAACTCGTCTTTCATATCCGTTTCAGGGTTCGGAACTGCCTCGGGCGCTTGTTAACATGGTGGAAGGATGCTTCTGTTCGCAGGACGCGCCGAATTTTATCGTATTGATTTAGAAATTCTGTGACGAACGAGCTGCGGCTTCTGGAAACAAGCTGCCCAGGGATGTGCATGGATCTACTTCAGATAGACGCAAGTTCGTTTCACATTTGTCCCTGTGTCCTTCTTCTATTCAAACCTACGGAGCGCTTCCGCTCGGTGCGAATCTCTTTTCGACCAGACTAAAATCAAGTAGTCGTCGCTGTGTCAGGTTCGTAAGTGTTTAATGGATTTCAAATTTTACAATTATGCATCTCCTGGTTCATTGCTTCGTCTCATGCTCCTTTTGGTACCAGTTCGATGCAGCTTCTTCTTTGCTTCTGCCCAGCATTCACAACTTCAGATCAATACTCTCACCCTCGGACGACTCTACAATCACATGCATTCGCTTCATTATCAACAACTGACACCCTCGAAGCTCGCCAGACTAAATTGCGAAGCTGTCCGCAGGTACTCATCAGAGTGCATCGTCCGGGCCGGGCTCCCTCGGCCTATCGCTGCCGTGATGTTCACATCGCTTATGGGCCTCGCGATCCTCCTATTGGCAACAGGAGGTACGTGCACATGCCCTCTTCACAAGTTCCTGGATCAATCTACATGCTTACAGCAGTCTATCTGTTGTCTTCAAGTTCTACCGCCGGAGCTATCATGTGAATCTAATGGATCATGGTTGTCAAGTTGTTGTGAATCAATTTATATGGTCAGTGCGCCATACATCAGTACAAGCATAGGTTCGCCGATACGCAGCTTTTCGCCATAAGGATTTCTGTACTCTATCCTGGTGCGCGCATAAACTCGTCAAGACGACGTTGCCTGACAGTTCAAAACCCATCCGCAAGTGTGATGCCAGTCCGCAGCTCCATGCTCCTGCTCCGTCCGCTCCTGTTCCGGCGGACCACTCCAACGCGCGTACTGGCCACCCATGCAGTCATCCCTTCGAAAGCATCAAAAGACAAGGGTCTAAAACGTGACACACCCAATCTGCAGCGTCCTACTCTCTGTACGTGGGGTCGGTTCTGGTGGGCCTGGCTCAAGGCGCGCACTGGGCGCTCATGCCGGTGCTGACGTCAGAGCTGTTCGGGCTCCGGAACTACGGCGCGACGTTCAACACCGTCACGTAAGCGCGTCATTTCCCTCCGTTCCGCACTTCTGGTCTTTGTTGGAGCAGCCTTGACTCGATCCTATGCAGATTAACAATGTTCTCGCTGACTACGATCTGGCTGGGTCTTAGCTCGACGTATGCAAACAGGACGCGCTTAAAAGCAGGGTCCCTGTCGAAGACCTGGCGCTCGTCCTGACCAGGCTAAGCGCTGCTTTTTCGTTTACCAACCAAAGCAACAATCAAAGCTCACGCCCAAAACCAGAGCGGATAAGAACAAGCCAGTCCTAAAACCAAACCGAACAGCAAGCGCAGAAAGAAATGCAGTCTTTCTGTGCTCTGCAGAGTTGCTTCCCCTATCTCCGCCTATTTCCTCTCCACATGGCTGACCGGCACTCTGTACGACCGAGAAGCCGCAGCCCAGCACGCGTCTCAAATTGACCCCCCCCCGGGGTCGGAACACACGTGTCATGGCGCAGTTTGTTTCCAGCTCGCGCTGGTACTTTTGAGCTGTGTTTGTGCCGGGGGGGTGATCTGTGGGCTGGCCCTCGTCATGCGGACGCGAGGCCTGTACAGACTGCGTACGAAGACGTCCGAATCTGAAGAGTACTGAGTTGCGGACAAGATAAACAAGTCGGATGCTTTTGTACTTGGTTGAAGACGGGTGAGAACTCATTCGCAGCACTCTTGCAGGTTCTATTACCCAGTTCTTATCCTCAGAGACTTCCTCTAGATTCATTGATATCTTGTGTGACACACCACTGCCGAGACTGGGGTGTCAGGCATGCAAAAAAGGGGTTCCCCGAATGAGAGGCCTGCGCCATCTGGTTTGAACGGCCGTTACGCGCCGGTTTCCAACAGGCCTTTCTATGAGTCTGTTCGAGGGCGGGACCCCCTAGAAACCTTTTGAGGGGTTCGTGCCGATCTGAGTCCCTGTAGGAAATTCCTTGAATGGCACCGATCGAAATCGAGGGGATCCTGATTGAAACTACTCGGCAACAAAAGCGCGCGGACGCAAGCGACGAGCACGTCAACCCCACAGTCCATGAGACTGCGTTCAGCGAATCTCTGAAAGCAATTTCCAGCCAGTGACGCTTCGTCGCTCAACCTTGTCCTCTACTATCAACACCTTTCTGAATCCTTTTGTGCCAACTCTGCAGGACCTTCGACAGCAGCAATAGGCGTTAAAGAGGGCGTCAGGTCGCCGCGAACTGCAGCGACACAAACGAGTGCCAGGTCTGCTTTGCAGTCGCCGGGACAGGATCTGCTGACGTACTTTGTCGGCGACGGCAAGCTTGAATATGCACTCTGATGTCGCTTTTTGACGTCAGGCGTTACGGGTCACAGGACGCCCACTTTAAGAGCACACGAGAGACCAAGCAAAGACGGTTTGCTCCTCAGGGAGCCGCACGCTGAAGGACGCAATACAGGTATGCAAAAAGCCAAGGTGTAGTTGGAGATTACTGGGTTCGGCATCGTTCAAGCGCAACAAGGTAAGTCACACATCCAGGTGGCACCGACCAGGTATAGGAGAAACTCCGCAGGCAGACATCAATGATCATACCTACAAGTTGATATAATATCACATGCAGGCAAAGTATGGGTTGTAAGGTGTATGCCACCGCTCACGCAGAGGGACTGACTAGGTCTAAGTGCCGTCAATCAGGTATACTAATCTATGCAGGTTCGTCATGATGTTATGGTAGGGCTCAGCATTTTTAGCTACAGTGCGAATTAAAATTAGGTTTGGGGTTGCCAGTCAACGGTTTAGTAGCCGGGCTGGCACGTGTTGATCCTTACTGACAATCTTTATTGTAGATTCAGAATATCAGGAGCCACTAACATGTGAAGAAAGAAATGCAGCTATAATACCTATATCTTTCAGAGCATCATCTTTGGATCGCGATCCAAAGCGCGCGCGAGACACGCGCGCGAGACAGCTATAGGTTGGTGTACATGCCGCGGCTATCGCTTACCTATACTAATACATGTACTCAGCCTGCACCCATGCTGGCACCCAGAATCATGATATCGAGTTAATTATATAAAGCGCGTCAACATGCGTCATGCAACCTACGCCGCATGTACACGCACATGCTGCAGATGCGTGCATGTGCATGAACGGACGCAGTTACTTGCCAAACATGACAATAGCACCGGCGTTTCATGGTCGCCATGCATGTTGAGGACAATCTATATATGTGTGTGCGAGGAGAATGTGGAAAGAATCCGATCGAGAACCTTTGGAGCATCACCTTAAAATGATCCTTCCACAACAATGAGCAACCGCTTTCTTTGAACATCGTTCATTGCGACCAGCTCAAGTTCCCCGGTCAAGTTATTCTTGAGAGGCAGCCAGCCGTACAGATCTGGTCCCCTACCGCACCGTTTGAAAGCTCTTCTATGGACCTAAGTACCATCACAGAGGTCACAAACCACGATAGTACTGCCTGCATATATGCCCCCGTAACCATACAGCAAGTGCGCTCAAGCAAAGCCTTGCATTGGCACACGGCTAAAAGCCAACGGCGCATCACCAGTACTCAATACCTTCTCTTGCCAGTTCTTGCTGCTCGCATACCTCCTCGATGGTGAAGGAACGTGGATCCTGGAAACGTTAAATTTTCAAGTTAGAAAAACGAACCCCCATCGAAGGACTGCCGTATTTATAGCTGTCTTTGAGGCCTGGCACAACTTTAGCGATTGAAGACAAGGTTGGATGCTGCTGCTAAAGTCAAGGCCTCAATAGGCTTGATTACTAATATCACTCTGTATTGTCGAGGTTGCCTGTCATATGGAGATTGCCCGAGCAGCATATAGCTGGGGTGAAAGTGAAGCCTCAGTTCTGAAAGCTCAGCTGGGAAGTTCTTGGGAAGCAGAAGAATACTGTACAGCAAAAACAAGCACAGAAAGATTTGTAAGGAAAGGTTGTGCTCACCTTTATGTAACTGTTCACCGAGTCCGGATCCGGAAACATGCTTGGATCGCTGAGACCTATCTCGGATAATGCTGCATGGATCCATTCCGTCCTTCTTGCGGACCCTGCTGCAGTAAGCGCATCCTCCAACAGGACCTTGCATTGTTGAAGGCCTGGCCTCCCTTCCGTAACATACCTCCATACAATGCCCCGAAACTCCTCAGGGAGATCCCCCGTCAGCAAGTCGCAGATACTCTTGGGGGCTTGCTTCAATTCTACAAATACATCGGGAGAGAAGGCCCAGTATTGTAAAGATCCTTCTTTTCGCACGGAAGGCCACTCCCTGAGCAAACTGGATAGCCTGCTCTCAGCCAGTACTAACTGGTCCAAATTCAGACCTCGAGCAAAGTTCACACCCTCCTTCACATTGATGCCTTCCTTTCCTGGTGTATACTCCGACAGAAACCTGACCGCATTAGAGGGCTCAAGTTCCAAGCCCTTCCCCGACCCGAGGACTAGCTTGCCGCCTCCCTGTACACGGCCCCCGGCACCCAACATGATGTGCCCGTTTAGGCACACAAATCCTGTCATCAGCGCGCTTCTCACCAGACCATCGTCCGAGTCGGACGCAGAGTCAACATTGTCTTCTCGGTCTCTGAACTCGGGGCTTCTATCAAAGAACTCATCATAGTCGGAGTGTCTGTTCCGAAGGCAGTCCTTGCCTAGGGCAAAGGTTGATTCGGTGCAGTATGGACACCTCAGAGAACTCGCCCCTCCGTCAGGGCCTGCCTCGTCCCCCTGGATATCATTTGTCTCCCTGGCAGTGCCTGCGCCAATGGCCCCCACTTTACTGAGATGAGCGGCAGCTCCGCTAGATTTAGCCAGCTCAGAGGTCTTGAAGTTTTTCACGATGCCCCGGCAGGCAGACAGGGCTGGATGGCAATTTTGGAAGACGGGAAGATTGATGGCTTGGCGGTGAGGGCAAAGCGCTGAGAAGAAGATGTTGTCTTGGGCGACAGAGGCTGCCAGAGAGAGCTTGCCCGACGCCCCATACCCAGTACAGAATCCACGTGAGCGAGTTTCCACGTGCCCACAGCCATCCTCCCAAGAGTACAGGTCACGCAAAGTGTCACCCTGACACACCGGGCGGAATGTGGGGTAGTTCAGACCAGGACAGTACACCATGAACTTGTACAGTCCCCTCCACCCTCCCGGGGGCACCTCTGTCCCCACATTGTATCCAAGTTCCTCGACCAACCCCGGTGCATGTTGCAGGCACAACACCTTCCAGGTGACGTTGTTCAGGATGGACTGCCAACCCTTGCAGACAGCTCCCAAGGGCACTATGTCCTTTGGATGTCGCCCCAGCTTTGAGAAGACCAGCTCCCAAAGGTCAGGGCCCAGATCAGGAAGCAGACTGCGGGGGTAAGAGACAGGAAGGTGCATTGCGGCAACTCCTTCTGATGCCGCTTGCTTGGAGCTCGGACTCTCTTGAGGCTTTCCAGTTGCGCCTGGCTTGTCAAACGCTGGGTACGGCAAGCGCCACTGTCTGGCCTTGAATTCTATTGGCTGCAGCAACGGGAGCGGTTGAGTGACCAGTGCAGCATCCACACATCAACTCCTGGACTCGTAGATCAATCTGAACTAGTCCTACTCTCCCCCTACTCTTTGGGGGCTGCTCACAAAGGTGGCGTAAAAATTTGGACCATCGAACATCAAGTATGCTTCTGGCCCTGGGTGCCCACTGCCAACATTCAGAATCATTCTGCTGATGTCGCAGCCTCCGGTGCCAGTTTGAAATTGCGCGGGAACGGATCCCTTCAGAGCAGGCGCTTTGCAGATGAACCGTTCGATATACCGCGGGCTTGAAGTTGCAGGCTGTGGAGGTTAATAAACCGTCGATATCAAATCAAGCGTCGACAGTAGTGCTATCAATCCTTGCCGTTGCACCGTATTAAAACTTAGAGCAGTACTTTAAGTTTTTCCAAGGCAATGAAATTGCCTGTGTGTGAAAGGTCGGAGGGAGTGAGGCGGCAACGCAGAACCGCAGAAGAGAACCACGCCAGGCACACACCCAGGACACCTGGACTCAGCTGGTGGGGATCTATGTCGTACAGAACTCAAGGCATTTTAAGATACCTACAATGAACAAAGATCGACGGCAATGGTAGAAGAAACAATTGGCTTACTACTACTGCCACTGGCACCTTGCCCTCTCAAAATCTCCATCAGGGGGGGCATATGCAAGCAATAACCCGCAGAATTGAGCTTTTCCTGGATGGTTCAAAGCATGATTTGCCTGCCGAAGAAGAGAGCGGGAGTAGCACGCGAGCACAGATGAGCTGTTTGCATCTTCTCGTACATTACAAGGATAGTGGAGTACAACAACTTAGCCACTGGTCGATTTCGGCCTACAAATCTGCATAGCTGCACAGGGAAAGAACATTGCTGAGAGGTCTTTTTCGCAGCAGCCATGGCTGCGGAAGGTGTGCTGCAAATGCCGGACCTGCAGTATAAGATGAGCAAGAAGATTACACAGCTGCAGAAGGTGAGCTTCTTCGTTCAGCTACGATGTACTTCTCATATACATAGTTGGAAGGCAAGCTGCTACTTTCTTACCATTGCAAAAGAAGGCTTTCAAAGATGGCGTGACCGTGCAATCATGAATTCAGTGCTTCCAGGAAGCTGAGGGTCCAGCTAGGTCAAGAAACTGCCAAAGCTTTAGACATGGGTTTGGCTTTAGAATGCTGCTGATGTCCATCAAGCGCCAAAGAATGGCGTTGGCTATATTGTTGGCTGTCTGCTAATGCAACATATGGGGGCTAAGCTACAGCATTGTCGAGATCTGGGATTGTGAGCCCCTTGTTTCAAGAGATGTTGAAAGCTGCTTATGTCTGACCTATCAGTATGAAACTGCATGTCCAAAGGTGGTTTGGGCCATAACGAATACAAATTAGTCATCCTCTGGTGACAAGAACAATCCTGTCTTACCTCACCACAGGATGTGGCAAGCCCTAGACCCAGAAGCTTGCCGCAGGCGCAGAGAGCACCATGCGCCAGTGGTGCAAAGCACTGATTCTCAAAAAGTGCTGGCCACCACATTGCGTAGCTCCGCACCATAACCTGTTCAAAGTGGGATAACAATCGTCGGCGCCACCCTTCGAATTGCAAAAGACACCACTATTCTTCATGAAAGAAACATGTTTCGGGGGGCCGCAATCGTATTTGCAGATAGTGGTGCAACCTACGCTGACCAAACCTAGTGGTTGTTGCCCGTCCTTTCTGTCCCGTAAAAGGTCTCTGTCTTTCAGAAGTAAGCCATGATTCCCCAGCTTCTTTGTAAAGGAGCGTTTCAGGATGAACCGGTCGAGACGTTTGCCAGTTGGCCACTTCTCTGCCCAGGTGATCTACCACCTGAACAACAAGACGGACGACCATGACTTCGAGGTCCTAGACATGGCTGGCCAACATGAGAGCGAAATTGAGCAGATCCTGCGAGATGCAGCGGAGAAGATCAGGACCTTCAAAGAGTCTCTGGAGATCAGGAAAGAGGAGAGCAGGGTCGCCGAGGTGGTCAGGGTAGGTTTTCTGGCGTCAAACATTTCTGATCAAAAGTAAGCACTAGCAGGGGAGGAAGCTCTGATGATGGATGGTGGTGAGGCTTTGGTGACACTAAACGGACCTTTGATGTCAATGTCAGCAAGCAACATTTTCAGTGCAGCCTTGAAAGGCTCCAGAAGTCATGCATCAGCACCGCCCAATGTGGTTTTGCTCGGCCATTAGCCTGGGGCCATAACCGCAAAATCAGGCGCCATTCAATAGGCCGAATCTTCGAATTGCTGGGAGACATTCTTACAAGTTAGACCCAAGGACATCATAAGAGGTGGAACATCTGGACCGAAGAACATGAGTTGAGACGACTTCTGGATGTAACGGCCTCTTTCTGCAAGCTTGGTTGAGAAATTGCGCGCCAATTTTCCTGGGACTTTTCGCAACTCTACTCCACCAAGCACCGTCAATCTAGCAATGGTTCAGAGCCAGGCTTTTCTACTACAGCGCATCTAGATTTGCGGTCAACTACTCAAGCAACTCATCAGAGCTAGGCTTTTCATCATAGGAACTCACGGCGAAATTCGAGCAAGAGAAGGCGGAGGCCGCTGCCAAGTTGGAGGAGTTCAAGCAGCAGGCGACTGTACAAGAGGATCTTCTCAGGGGCTATCTGCGAACGTCCGAAGGGCGGGTGGAGTCTCTCACCAGGTATGCGTACCGTAGAATGGTTTGCTAGTAACCTATATCGCAGCTTCAAAAGTTGTCGCTTGTACAAGAGTCGTAGTAAGCTAGTGCAACGACCAGGTGTTGCCTTTTGATCAAGTTCGCTTCGGAAACTCAGTGATTTCCAGCCGAGTGAGCTCGAAACAGCCGCCTTTAGAACCTGAAAAGACCGATTTCCAGACCTGGCAATGCTCCTCTTGATAGATCTGTTGCTTTGCAAACTATCAGGATGTTCTGCTATTCATCTTCCTTGGCGCTGACCTCATGCCGGCACTGCACTCACTCGGTGCGATCTGTTCTTTCTTCAGGAATGTGGCGACTCTCAAAGAGAAGGTCCAGCAGCAGGGTTTGCAGCTGCAGGAGGTAACGGGCACGGCAGAGGCGGCCTCCAAGGAGAATGACGAGTTGAAGCGGAGTCATCGAAGAGAGATGGAGGCGCTGAAATTGCGGTCCCAGGAGGAAGTAAGGCGTGATCCTAGTTACTCCCGTTTTATTAGTTCTCTCCCTGCTTTCATAGAAAGCCTCAACTGTCTCATCCCGGGGGCACGGAAGTTAGGACGTCCTAGTCGAAGATACACAGGCAACACATGATCACCGATCGATCGCCAGATGCGCATGCAGTTTATTTGCTCGAATCAACGCGGTCCCCAACGTCGATCCGAACCTGGAACCAATTGGAACTTTTTCCAATGTTGCATCTGCTTTCGCCCTTGTAAAGCTGACGGTCTTCTCTCGTACATCTTTTGGGACATCCGTCAATGGTGCCGCAGGGCTACGCTGTCCCAAATATTGTTAAAACTTCTGGTATCATGAAAGACACAATGAATCAAAGTCCTGGACCTGAACCCGGATCTGAACTTCTGAAAAACTATAGCTGAAGTCTCAAAGTACAGATGCTCAACAGATAAAGCCGACGCCTCCTCCCCAGGTTGCGGACGCGCATCGGGTGCATCGCAAGCAGATGGACGCGCTGGCGGCGGAGCGTGAGGCGGCCGAGAGCGCGCTGCGCGCGGAGATCGCGCACGCCACGATGGCGGCCAACCGGGGCCTGCAGGAGCTCATCGCGGACTACGAGAGCCGCATGGGGAAGGGCCGGGAGACGTACGAAGCGGAAATTATGAGAATGCGCGAGGAGTCGCGCGACGAGACGGAGAGGAATGAGAGAAGGGAGAAGGAGAAAGAAGAGAGTTGGAGTCAGGAAAGGGAGGGGCTAGAGAGGGCTAACGAGGAGGTTAGAGGGCGGTTTGCGGCCGCGGAGAGGCGATGTGATGAGTTGGTGAAGAGAGTGGAGGAGGCAATGACGCAGCTGGCAACGACGAGCAAAGAGCTCGAGACAGTGAGTCTGCTCGGCAAATCTTCCATTTGGGTAGTTGTGACGATTTGGAGGCGAAGTAACACCGGCTGTGAATCCGATTTCCCGTCATCCGAAATTGGTCAACATGCTCAGATGTTTGGCTTTCCCGAGACCGGCGCATCCGTGGTTTGAGACTAACGTCGACAGAGAAAGTGTCAGCGTTCCATCTGAAAGCGGGTGGTACTCTAAACTCCCTTCACGCACATGCGCTTGCGTGCTCGGCGCAAGTTTCGTTCTGAACCAGAGCCTAAGGGTCATCATTCTTGCACCCATTGGTCAGCGCGGAAGCTAGTCGTAAGTCACCTGACTTTGTATAATCTACCCTTGTCGTGACTCGATGCAACCTTCTTCTCATCTGCAGGAGAAGCAACGGACGTCCACGCTCGACGCCGCCCTCTCCGAGTCCCGCTCGGTCGCAGCGAAGCTGTCCCAAGACCTCCAAGCTGCCGTCCGAAAGGGCGACCAGCTGTCCTCCGAGCTGCGCGCAGAGCGTGACGCGGGCGAGCGAGCGCGCGCGCGCGCCCAGGAGGAGGCGGCCGCGAGCGCGTCCGAAAGCGAAAAGCTGCAGAGGGATTTGCGCGAGGAGTTGGAGAATCGGAAAAAATCGGACGCTGCATACGAGGAAGAAGTGGGCGTCCGGAAAAGGGTGGAGGGCGAACTAGGGGCGGCGAGGAAAGCGCTGGAGGACGTCACGAACGAGGCGCGGCAGCTCAAGATCGACGTAAGCAGGAGTACTACTTTGACCATATCTAGCCGAGCACACCTTTCATGGAAAGGCGTACTTTGAAAAAACATAAACTCATACTTGTCGTGTTAGTGATGGAGCATGGTGCTGAACCATTTCGAGCGTTCCGAACGCTGTCAGCTTTGTGTGCCGGGTACCTTGTAGAAAATCCGGTAAGGCTTTCAGCACAGCATCCTGCGGGTCCTTTCCAACCTCAACCATCAATCCAGACCACTCATCAAGCTGATTCAGCATGCATGCTGTTTCATCAAAGCAAGGCCCTTATGAACGAAGTAGTCAGATGCATGCTGATTCATCAAGGCAAGGCCCTTGTAAACGAAGTAGTCAGATGATCAAGCCTTGAAGCCCCATCTGTCTCATCACTATCACCTTCTTGCTGTTTTTTGCAGCTTTCCACGATGAGAGAGGAGAGCGCCAAGAAGGAGGCCGAGCTGGCCATGAGCGGAACGGAAGCTTCCAAACGGATCGCGGAACTCAAATTCACGGTTGCCGACCTGCAGAAAGAACTGATCGCCAAGGTACGTCTTGCTTCTGCCTCGTTCTGCCTCCAAGTTGGATAAAAGATCGTCTTGCTTGTATCAAGTTCGAAAAGATTATGCTATTGCTTCTGTCTCCAATCTGCGATGTTCGCAGTCGACGAAGGCTTTGGATTCTGTTCGTTCGTTTCTCGTATCGACCTAATATCAATAACCCGCGTTTGCATCCTTCTGCGAAAGATGATTTATCAGGTTGCTCTAAGCTCGCAGGTCAGAGAAGCGGAGGAACGAGCGGCCGCGGCGCTAGCCTCGCAGATGAACGACCTGAGCGCGCGGCACGCGCGCGCTGTTCAAGACGTCGAGGCAAAGCACACGCAGGAGGTAAGACACCCGGGTTTTACGCAGCCGCTTTGACGGCTTATCCATCTCCTGTCCAGGATCCACGTCAGAGCTGACTGACGTGGAAGTACTTCTTCCGGCCTGCACTGTGTATTGTGAGGAGTAAACTCCCGAGATGGTACCTTGAAGTTTTAGCGTCGGGGGATCCCCTCAACGTGCTGATGTCAGTTCCTTGACGCGCGCAGACGGAGGCCGCCGCCGCGGCTGCCGCGGAGTGGGAACGCGCGCTTCGGGAGCAACTAGAAGGCGAGCTTTTGAAAGTGGAGGCGAAGTACAATGAGGAGATTGGGCAGGCGAGCGAGCTGCTGTCCCAGGAGCGCGCGGAGGCGCGCGCGCGCGCAGAGGCACTCGAAGAAGAGGTGAGTGGTCGGTCCATTGACTTCTCAATCGTTTTGGGAAGGTCTAAACCTCTTCCACCTGTTTTCGCAAGCGCACGGTGTTTGCTCTGGGCACGGTATCATGGAAGAGAAGCTTCAGCCCTTTCCTGAAAGCTCTCAAAATCTCACGAATCAATGAATGGACAAAGATATCCGAAAGTATGCCAACAAACATGGTTTACGACGGAGTTCAGAGGTGGGATCTGGCGCACACACTATTTTTGGGGAGTGTGCGCACACAAGGAGTGCCGTGACTCTATTCTCTTGTCAAGCATTGACCTTTGATTCTTGGACTGTCACTGCAGATCCGCCGGTTGAGAGATGGCACCGGCGACCTGGGTGTTCAAAACGAAGGGCTTACAAAGAGACTGGCGGATGTCACGGCGGTAAGCAATCCCAAGGCTTAGCTCACCACAGATCGGCGCCCGGATCCATCAAATCGATTCTGATGGATCCAGACAAGTTTTAACTCCAAAACTCTTCGGCAGATGGGGACTTTGAATTCAATGGTGATTGACGACAGGAAGTCATCACGTATGGTGCACTAACACTTGGTGGTCCTTACCGCGCGCACGTCAAAGCAGAGTCTCCAGCCATCTCCTCAAATCTTACTGTTCGTTAATGCGCAACGTTAGCTCCTTCGCGGATTGCAGAATCCATCTTGTCGAAATAACAATTTTCAACTTCTTGCAGGCGAAAGAAAAAGCGGGACGCGAGCTCCAGCAACGCGTCGAAGTGTTGACCCAGGTATCCGTTAAGGTGAAGGAATTGGAAGCGGACCTGGATTCCGTCCGACTGGCGGCGGAACGGGAAACCGCTCAGCTGAAAAGGGAGATGGAGGGCGCGCGGGCGGTTGCGGAGGAGCGGTTGCGGCGGGCGAAAGACGAGTACGAGACGACGCTGCAAAGGTAGCTTGTGCATCTCGCCCTTGTTTTCTTTTTGAGGCATTGCCGTAACGTCTGTTTGGCGGTTCCAGATTATCAGACCGGAGAGTACGGTACTGCTCATTATTTCCAACTAAATCAAACTGATCCTGAAACCTTCTAGATTCAAAAAGCTCATCGCGTAAAAGCAATAACGGCAACTCCGAACTTTTCAGCGGTAAAGCATTGGTCCGTTGAGATTGTAGAAAGTTTCTTGACTGAAACTTTCACGTCTGATATGACGAAATCAAAGTAGTGAGATAATTGGACACAATGATACGTTATCATTTTGAGCTCTGAGTTTAGCGGATCGCCACCGTTGCAGAAGCGAGGAAGACTGGAAACGGGCGACAAAGGACCAAGTGCAGCAGGCGGTGGAGGCGAGCGCGCGGGAGCACGCACTCGAGGTGCGCCAGCTGCGCGCGCAGATGCAGGCGGAGCAGGTGAGACCTTGAATTTGTCATGGGCAGACATCGGGCTCTACTTGAAGGATGTTTTAGGAGGGCTTGATTGTAGGTTCTGAAGAAGACTGGTCGGCTTTACTAACCGAGGGGCTCCCATCCTTGAAGTTTCCTCCGGCAACCGCTTTGGTGTTGTGACATTAGGAGTTTTCGCATGATGTGATTACCAGCTGTCCTGAGCTGAATCAGTCGGGGCTGGCAATGGTTTCCTTATCTTCGTATTGCCGCGATCGAAGACGTCCCAGATCCACCCTAAGCGGTTGACATGCTATGAATCAAGTCGACTTTGCGAAGCAGGCAAATCGATGAAGTAGAAAGGGATACCCAATGTCCTGAAAGCCAAGAACTCTGAGAAACACAAAACCGTAAAGTTCATGAATATGCGTTCGACAAACTCTTCTGTATTCACATTTCTAAGACCACTTTGGCAGGAGGCGGAAAAGCAGGCCGTCCTGCAGCGCCAGCTGTCAACCGCGGCCGGCCGCGAGCAGGAGCTCTTGGCGCGGCTCCAAGGCGCCTCTGCCGAGGCTGACGATATCCGACGTCAGCACGCCGCCGCGCTGGCATCCGCCGAGGCGGAGGCGGAGGGCGCGCGGGAAGCGTTGGAGGCGCGGCACAAGGAGGAACTAGAGGTGCGGAGGACTTTGCTCTTCCTGTTGGCGTTTCTGGGCTGTATGGCAAGGTTGCTCCAACGGAAGAGTGCAAACTTTATTTGGTCTTCTGTGAATGGTGCTAGAGATTGCGCTGAATCTAAAATACCTTGAAAAGAGATTACGAAGTCCAAAAAAGCTGACCAAGATCTTGAAAATTCTTCAGTTCCTCCTAAGAGATGGCGTGTCATGGGCCACTCACTTCTGGAGAACTTTTCATGGGTGTCGACGTTGTCGAGAATTCTGCGGTCACGATTTGATGCCCACCATCAATGCTAGATTACAATCACTAAGGATCTGTTCGCTCGCCCCTGAACGGAACTTGAGACTGGCCGACAGAATGAAGGAGTCTTTCTAGCGCAAAATCATCTTGTTTGCAGGTCATCGGGTCACGTGCCCAACGGGAAATCGAAGCCCTCAAAGCGTCTCACGCCGATACGCTCCAGAACCGCGAAGCGGAGACACTGGAGAACGCAAGGAAGGACGAAGCTGCGCACGCGGCGGAGATGTCTGCCCTGAGGCGGGAACAGAAAGAAGAGGTGAGGAACTCTTCCAGCTGTAGAAAGCGTCCTTTGCGGCCCGGGAGTGGAAGGTCGTAAGGTTGGTAAGACGGAACACGAGACACTATCAAATTCGAGGTATTTGCAACATCTCCACGCTTTGGGCGACAAGCGGGATCCGTCGAATGACCTCGTTTCAGCCGATTCGTCTCTTTGCAGAATCGTCTTCTGATAAAGTAAGAGGAGATTGTTTCCTCAAGTAGGCATCTTCTAACCTTCTGCTGAAATGAGAAACAAATGTTCGCGGCAACGAACGCAGGTATCGAATCTGGTGTCCGAATGGAGCGCCCGCCTGTCCGAAGCGAAGGCGGACGCAGAGCGGCGACAGGAGGAGGTCGCCAACGAGCTGCGGGCGTCACATGCTGCCGCGGTCGAAAGCGTGAGTGGGTCACTCCTAACATATCGTGTCTGCTTGGACTCTGAAATCTTCTGTCTGCTTGGACTCTGAAATGTATTTTCTGCTTGGACTTTGAAATAGCTTGTCTGCTTGGACTCTGCTTCAAGTCAGCGTCAATGCTACGGACAGACCCGATATTGCACCGCTTCTGGCGCAATGTTTCGCGCACCGTTTGGGTTCTAGAGGGCGTCAGAAGTAGGGCTGCAATATCATCAAGTACCCGTAGAGACATTGTCCATTCGCACCACCTTGGTGCGAATACTTATTTTTGAACTGTTTTCGATTTCGCACCAGCATCGACGAATTTATTAAAATTTTCGTTTTCCCCGATTTTCAAGCCTTTTTGCCGTTTTTTTTGGGTTTTGGGGATTTATCTTTAATTCGCATTTTCGCACCTGCATCAAAAGTAGTTTTACTTTTTTCGCAAGGCCAAAATCGAAAGTAGTTTTACTGTTTTCGCAAGGCCTAAGAGTGGAATATTTTTGTGCGAATGGACAATGTCTCTACGGTAACAATGAAGCTAATGATGGGAAACAAAAACAGAGCCGTTGACGAGGACTGAAATTCTGTTCAGCGTGACGGACCAAGTCACCCGCAGCAACTGACGCCTTTCTCTGTGAAAGTCGTTATGGTTTCGCGTCTTCGCCTTCGGAAACTCACCCAGGACGTTTCTCGAGGACCTTATGCTTTCCTCAAAGCACGCATCCGTTTACGTGTAGCTGAAGGAGCCCAGATACCAAGAGCGCGCGCCCACAGGAAACAAAGCACACCGCAGACCATGAAAGAGCGCAATTTCCTTTCCCTCAGATCACAAATCTCGCAGCATTTATCCCCCCAGAACGTGATCCAAGCAATCGTTTCTGCCGTGCAGCTGAAGGCGGGCCACGAGCGCGCGCTCGCTGAGATGCGGCGCGCGCATGACTCGCTAGAGAAGAAGCACGACGAGAAGGAGAACATGATTCAGCAAGTAGGAGCGGCGAACCGGCAGCTGCAGATGGAGCTCGCTGGGGGCAAGAAGGAGATGCAGAAACTGAACGCCGATCTTGTCACGACAAGGTACGCAATGGCCCAGCATTTTACTATGAGACTGTTGCTTTACTCCTTCGTATTGCAGAGTCGATATTCATAGAAAGGGAAATGCTGGTACCTTATTCATGAAAAAAGAATAAAAAAAAAGATAATAAAAAACTACACTGATACCGCTGGATCCAGGGCAGTGGCATGTCGATGCGGATATGGCCACTCCGTGCACTTAATAGACGAAATTGTTTCCAAAAAATGTGAGGAACCCTGCTTCTTACTTCCACTTCCCTCCTGTCCCCAACCACATTGCATCGGATGGCGTTGAAAGCTTTCCGTTCATCAGAGATCCCGCCGGCGCCGCAGCATTTTGAGAGGCGCAACCTTTCGCAGCCTCGATAACCCGGCGGCATTCAGACCAAATTTTGCCTGAAAACTATAAAATCCGTCTTCCAGGGGCCATTACCGGTGGCGATACCGGCAGACCGCGCTGGTGAGACGCAAGCTCACCAACGTAGACGTGATGCAAATGGTACTAAAGCCCTTATCAAACCCGTCTTAGACCAGCCTTAACCCGTATAGCTCGCATCAAAACCCGCAATGAGCCGAGTTCAATTCGAAGTTCAGGAGCGGCTTCCAGCGCGAGCGGCGCCAGACTGCGTTGGTGGCACGCAAACTTACAACCCAGAATGCGTTGACTTCGATAATGCCTTTCTTTTTAAACCGTCTCAGACCCGGCTTAACTCATATCAGCCTTAACAAACGTCTTGGACCCCCTCTTAAACCCGGTTGATGTCCCTCCTGGAGCGACTTCCAGCGCGAGCTGCGCCAGACCGTGCCGGGGTCACGCGGATTTTGGCCTGGAAGGGTGTTGAAAATGGTCATTAACTCCTTCCTAAACCCGTCTGAGACCCGTTCCAAACGCTTCTCCCAGTCCTGAACCTGTCATTAACCTAGATATTTCCGACCCTTCAGAAGCGATTTCCAGCGCGAGCTGCGCCAGACCGAGGCCGCGCTGACGGCCGCGCACCGCGCGGAGATCGAGCGCCTGATGACCGAAAACCTCGCGGAAACGCGCGCGCTGCAAGAGGGTTTCGAGGGCGCGAAAGCCGCCATGGAGCGCGGGCAGGAGGAGCTGCAAGCGCGGCTTGACGCGTGGAAGGTGGGCCCTTCTTTTCTTGCATCTTTTGGAGGATCCGGGGCTTACAACTTCGAGCTTTCCATGGTTTTCGGTGCTGATAGAAAATGCGCGCGAGAAAGCTGCGATGGAGCGCGGCCAGGGGGAGCTGCAAGCGCCGCTTGATGCGGGAAAGATTGAGATTTTTACTCTCGCAATTTATGTGGAGGTTTCAGGAGCTCAAGATGAAGTTTTTGGGTTTCTCACTCCTCACAGCAACGCGCGCGCGCAAGCAGAAGGAGTTGCGACTGGGGCTCGAAGCGTGGAAGGCTCGATGGAGAATTACGGTCACTTTCAAAGTTTCGGATGCTTGGAACAGTTGCTTGCAAAGTTCGTGATTGATGCGTGGGGACGTTTGACAGCTGAGGTGGATATCGTGGGGGAGTAACATCGCCGAGACATTGAAAGCTTCCTCTTCCCTGTTGTCTCCAACTAGGAGGCCGGTCATTTTCTTCCATGGAATTGCTAAGCGTGACAAACATCTCCTTTCTCTCTTCGAGGGCCGACCGAGCTTAAGTAAAAAGCTTGCGTTTACCTTCCTACGTATAGGAGGTTCCCTCTCGTCTACAAAGCCGAAAGCTTCCGTAGAGGACTGTACATGAGAAACAGTACCTTGCAGCCTTCTGAATGATGACGCTGATTGTATGTGCGCGCGCGCAGGCGCGGTTTGAGGCGCGCGAGCCCCGCCCGGAGGACGTGGCGCGCATTGGCGCGCTGGAGGACCTGTGCGCGCAGAAAGACGAAAAGTACGATAAGCTATACGATGCGACCAAGAAAATGCGCCTGGAGCTGCTGAACCGGGAGGAGAACTACAATAAGGTGTTCGGCGCCGCGCCGGTCGTGCAGCAGGTGAGCGGAATTCCGCCAGAACGGATCATGCACGAGCTTTTATGTGGATTGATTGAAAGCTGCTTTAGCAGAAGAGGGACCTGATTTGAGTTTGTCAGGAGTTGCTGAAAGCACCTTTCTGACGAATGTATGCGGCAAATCAGGAAAGAAATGAGTGCAAGAGTGATGGCATCCGTCCCATACGTGGATACAGTCAATGCACCACAAATTCAACCAAAGTACAATACAGTTCTGTTGAAAGGTCGAAACAAACACGTTTGGATCGCATCATGCTTCTTATGGCTGCAGAAAACTCACACTTAAGTAAGCCCTGTAAGCTGCCTTGGTAAGCTTCTGGCCTGGATCTCAACATCAGGATCCAGAGTGAAATTCAGCCCCCTTGTTGATCCTTTTAGGCTTCTGAAGGGTTCATTTGCTTCAATTTGGAAGGCCCCAATGGTCAAAGGCCATCTGTATATCCAGAAGTATGACAACACTCGTATCTTTGAAACACAAGCGTCGAAGCGCAGCTAAGAAGTGTCCTGACTGGGTATTTGCAGGGTGTTGCGGACTGGCTCAAACCAAAGACCAACATGAAGGACACCAGTGGGTCTGGCGGAAGATCCGCCAGAAGTAGCAACGCAACAGGGGGTCCTAAGTCGACAGCCAGTTCCAGAAGGCCTAGTGGCCAAGAGAACCGCTAGAAGTTCAGAAGACTGGCATGCATCTATAGGGTCAAAATGTTATGGCCGGGATCTACGCATTCTGCGACATGAACAAGGACTGAGAAAAGCACAGTATGCGTAAGTCGCTCTTTATAGGCCGTGATTGAGCGATTCACGGAGTCTCTTGGTTTGGCCTTCGACTCTGCTTTTCCGCGCCTGCCTATGTTGACATGAGACACCATGCCACAGATTGGTTGTCTCGTCAATTTTACCTGATCATGATGGATAGCTTTCGTTGTTAGATCCAACAGGTGCCGATTGTTCTAGACCGTCGGAGTTTTCTTGATGTAATGACGAGCGATTTTGACAGTTTTGCCCCCAAAGACTTTGACTAACGTGCAACAGCTTCCGCTTGCGTTGATCTGCGGCCTAACTGAGTACTACCTGAATAGGTGAAAAAATTCATCACTATAAGTTTCGAATAACTGTCTATATCAGTCTATATTACACTATTCTACGCGTGCGCTGCAGGCACTCATCTTAAGAGAGCTCAATTGGGCGCGCTTTACCATGCACAGCTTAGGCGGCATGCAGCGCAATGAATCGATGTTAAACCGGCCTTTATTCTAGCCTAGCCTCTCATGATCCGCTTTCCGGTCCCGCCCACATTTCGTCCGCCAACGGCAGCAGAACCCTGGTTGTGTCTTTGGTGAACTTCCGTGCAAACAGGTAGCACGGCCGGAGGGTGCCCGTTTCGGCGCACTCGTCGAAGACGTGCCTGCCCTTCCCGTACGACGAGTCTTCTTCCACGGGTCGAGTCATGGCCTGCTTTGACGGCGGAAAAATATGGGTTGAGAGTTGGAAGAACGACTCTCAGCCGGTGCTAAAGACGGAACGAGGTCGAATTGTTCCCCATCATACCAAGAGAAGGACTCAAAAGGCTTTGAGAGGCGACCTTCGTCACGCCGTAATTAGTGTGAATCTTTTGAGTCTCCGATAACGTTGATTGCTCTGCAAGAAGCGGTCGAGGGCTGCAAGCGCTTGGTGAACGAAACACGTAGCCAACTAACGAGGCCAACCGAGATGTCAATCTTGCTACATGCTGATTTTGTTGGCCCCATTTTTTGCGGCATCTTCTAAGAAATCTGTTGTCAGCACGACATGAAAATCTGGGGCACACGGATATGCCACTGGCAGGCTAGGCTAAGAAGAGACATGAAATTTGCATACAGAAATATCCAAAAAAGAAATACACGCAGAAAGCACTTGGAATGCCGCCTCCGCGAATGTGACTTGGCATGGCCATAACGACTATGAGGTTTGTCACCTCAGTCTGCCAAGCACGGTCGTATCAACGGTTCTCAAAAGAAAGCTTGTGTGGAACCAGCTGCCAAGTGCTGTCTTGCACCTTATCTCCATTTAGAAAGAGGCTAAGGGTGTTAAAGCGTCACCTGAATCTCCCGGATGGCAGCGAGGCTGGTCATGTTTCGGATGAAGGTGTGTGGGTGGCTCGCCTTGCGCTTCATCCACGCCGCGTAAGTAACCGGGCGGGGCACCAAGCCCTCGGAATCTTTCATCTGCATTGGAAAGAATTTGGATCTGATTCGCCCTGATGCAGACAGGATTCCTCGGCATGAGTTGCTTAGCTGCGCAAAACAGCGGTATATGCAGGCCTCTGTAGAGTCTCAGCTTTGATTTGGGAAGCGGAGACAATGGGGTTGCTGGAAGAAGATTGACTAGCAGCCGTTGTTTCCACAACGAAGCCAAGACTCTAGGCACACTTTGTGCAATCGCTTGTTGCAGCCTCAAGCGCACGAGCACTTGGCTTGGTAGGAGGCTTGTCGGGTGGAGAGGTGACTCACCGGCAGTAACGTTTGAATGTAATGCTCGTCCGCGATCTGCAGCCAAAGCAGAACGAAGCGTAAGCCAATGACGTCATGCTGATATTCCTTCATTCCTTCTCTCGCTTTTCAGTTCTTGTGATTCCCCAACGTTGTTCAGCGGTGCGCTTCTGCGTCGGGCGCATCCGTTCCGTTCGCAATCCATTCCGCTCTCTTTCTTTCTTATTGAACTTCAAACCAATCAGGAACTACGAGAACGCTTTCTCGACAGCGCACGCTGACTGCATTCGTTTGCTGGATCACAGTAGCGAACAAGGAATCGGATTTGAAGCTATGATGAGGTCAGCAACTGACCTGTGCTTTCGACGACTGGAGACGGTTCAGCATTTCGGCATCTCCCACCACCAGGCGCGCGTGCGGCCGCGTCAGCGTAAACCACTGCGCCGCGAGGGTTTGGAGGGTTAGCATTCGGAGGCGAGGCCCTGCTTGTGAGTCTGATTCCAGCTTTCTCCAAGCAGCATCCGTAATGATCTCGAGTTGCAGAGGTCAAAACGGAGTGTTCTCAGAGCGGGATGGTCTCAAGCGGAATGGTCTCACAGCCTGACGCATTAAGGAGGCAAAGGGCTGACGTCTCAGGAGGTTAAGTCTTTCCTGGAAAGAATCTTCGACCAAGGGATTGCAGAGCATGGACTCACATGAAAGCGAGGCTTGTTACTCTCGCTCAATGCGCTCGTTCCAGGAGCTTTGGAACAGGCATCACTGTCTGTGTTAACAGTGTGTACACAGTACTTGGATACTTGATTAGATCCTAAGAAGAACGTAATACTGCCACGTGTCAGGAAGAAATGATTGGCCGGAGAGTCTCTTGCCTGCGCCCCTTTCCGCCACTGGTGCTTTTGGACGATCGGCCCAAACCCGTTTTTATACCGCCACGTCGTATGAAAGCTGTGGATGGGAGACACGCGTCAAAAAACGTTCTATCGCGAAACACCTTTGCGGATCAGTATCTTGACTTCCGAACACTGCTCGGCTGAGCAAAAATCGTGCTCGGCTAAGCAGAGAAGATCGTGTCAGGATATTCAGCGCAGCCAAGCAGACCGTGTCATTTCAGAACAATCAGCTTCGCCGAGCGAACCCAACTCCGCAAGAGACTCAGCTTTGCTGAGCAAATCTGATTCTTCTGTACAACGTAATACCTTAGCGGATCAATATCCTTTTTTGGAACAATGATGCAATAATTCAAAAATAAAGCTAAGCGGCAATGGCCGGAGGCGATGGACGCACCTGGAAATGAAGCTCTTGTCCAGCTCAAAGAGGTACTTATACGTGTAGTCGAAGCTTCTGATGGGGATGCACCTGGAAAACAGAGAACAAGTGTCAAGGGTAGCACTTGAATTAGCTCTTCAAATGAGTTCTAGACCATTTCGTGCGAGTTTGAACGTCAAACCCCTGAAAGAAACCTTTGCTCGGTCAGAGATCCGTTTTCATTTCGGCATCTCTCCTGAAAATGGTCACGTTCGGAGTTTAGCTAGCCTCTGGCTCGTATTATCGAAGTTGTTGCAGTCAAGCAACATTCTGCCTAGAAAACCTGTCGGGACCCAAAGCAATCGCAACGACTCTCCTGTCAGGCAACTCAGAGTGCCTGTGACTGCTCCATCATTCTTGCTTTTGAAAAGGACGATGCAATCAGGATAGGCGCCGATATTCTTGGCCTCTGTGCCACTTTTAGTGGGCGATTCGGTCGTACTCGTTACTCAAGGGGTTAAGGACTTGAATCGAAACTTGAGCAGTAACACTCACGACTCGGAAACCAGGACGAATCGCTCGTTGTTGCGATCGATCAACGCTTGCGCCAGTAACCGCCTCTCTGCCCGCACCATGTTGAGGCCGCCCCATGTAACCTGCAGATGTCACACCAGCGTCATCAGAAGACGGTCATCATTGTCGATCTATCTTCCGAAGCAAACAAATGGGGGTTCGGCAAAGTTGGTATAGATTTTCGCAGTTTTGGAGCACTTCGGGCTCTTTCCCGTCACGTACTAGACGCGCGTTCTTTTGCCGCTTCTGTAGACGGTTGATGTTACCCAATACGGACACATCTGACAGAACGCCGAGTACAGGCAAAAAAATAGAGGGGCCCAATCGATAAAGCAAAACCTAGAGTAAATCTTCAATCATGGTGTCGGGGAGGGGGGCCAGCTGCTTAAGCTTCAACTTTACAGTCCACTGCTGCTTATATGCGCAAGTAGCGGCCAGGGTCTCTCAGCTGGGAGATCTTCCGACTTCTCATTATTCTTAGTCCGAGAAGGACGCACAACCGTTGTAGCTTTCAATCGGACGCAATTTGCCACCGATATAGTATTGTCAGCGCATGTAGTAGCCAAATGCTTACAGCTGGCAGATCACTAGCAAGGAAGGACGTACCTTTATGCTCTTGATCTGCCGGTCGTGGAAGACCTGCGCTTGAGACGTGGTTTCGTTGTACACGAATCCATCTTTTGATGCATGGACGTAGATCGAGTACCGATTCTCGTTCCCCTCGAAATAGCGCTGCCACAGGCGCTCATGGAACAGGGGACCCCGAGTCAAGAATAAGAACGCTATCTTAGAAACGGGTCCCTTCTCAGTCTTCTGATCAACGGCGAGCGCCTTTGCGTTTAGGTAGGCTTCAAAGAGCTCGTCGGCGTCAGGGCCGTTGAGCATATTGCTGACCGCGTTCTTGCTAATTTCATCGGTTTGATTAAGCTCCCCAGCAGACCCTAAAGTGGAGTTCTTCACTGATTCTAGCACTGCTTCATCGGTCAGGTTTGCGGTCTCCGTCAACTCAGCTACGGAAGACGCTTTGGCTGGCGCTCCAACCAATTCGTCTTTGGACCCCCTTAGCCGCGCAATGGAGCGTTCACTCCTTTCTGCAACTCCGCGGTCCAAAGCAGTCTTCGCTCTAGTTCCTTCATCTAACTGTGAGATAAGGATGTCAACCCTGGCCTTTGGATCTGAGGGGAGCATCAGATCGACGGCCTCTGTGCTCTCAGCTACGCTCCCGTTCCTTAGCGATAATTCTGCTTGATTGGCTGACTCCTGGAGCGCTTCTGGTAGCTTGGAACGTTGCGTGGTTATAAACAAACCAGCTAGGGAGACCGATGGAAAGTTCGTGTGAGGGGAGAAAGCGAGCGCGCGGGCAGGGGAGAGCACTCCAGCGGAGAGAGCCGTAGAGAAGACCAGAAAGACGGCCCCCGTGAGGAGCAGGCCAAACGCTGTGAAGAGTATGAGGGCGGGGCCGCGGGCAGAGGCTTTGAGAGCCCTGCAGGAGAGAAGAGGCTGGGTTGCTTCAAGAAAGCCAACACATACAAAGCTCTACGAAAATCCAGGCATGGAAAATGGAGCGCTGGATATGTACCTTGACCTCTATGGCTTCACCGGCAGCGTTTGTGTACTGTCTCCAGAGAAGCTGCACCTGATTCGGATCTAAGTAGGCCTATGCAACTTATCAACTCTATTGCACCTGTTTGCACAGATGCAATGATCAAGCCAGAGGGGCGGGCTCGTTTTGAACGAGGCAAGATCCTTCCAACCTTCATCAGGCCCAATAAAACTGCAGCTCAGTAAAATGGATCACCGTACCAATGCATGACCAAGGCAAAAGAAGCTGACTTACATTGTGTCGAGATGATGCCAAGCTGCCATGTATGTCTGAGGATGAGCTGAACAGAGCTTGGGCGTCCAGAGAGAACCTGTCAAGTTTGGCCCACAAATTGCTTTTCTGTGACAGAGATCTGGACGCTCAGCACCTCGCCCTAAGGGCGTATAAAGCCCCCTTTCTTCTAGGCCACTGGTTGGCAGAGGTTGTTCAGCTCTGCCTGATTGTATTTGACGTCAGACTGCTTCGACGTCTAGATATGAAGCAGATGCAAGCAGAGCTCAATCGTCCCTCACGATGGTTGCCACTTGCTGTTTCAGGCGCTCTTTTGGGAGATCGCCGCTACAACGTTTAATTTGCACCTTTCTGCTCAGGTCAAGCTGGATACAGAATCTCTCTTATTTCCATATATCACTCACTTAGAACGGCCACAGAATGGTACCACCTCATTCTGCCTTCCTAGATTCAAGCCCTGCATTGCATCCCAAGGACATTAAATTGCAAAATGCGAAGGAAGATTGTAATACGAGGTATAGGATACACTTGATTTGGCTCAGCTCATTCAGTCCTGCTTGATAGACATGCTTTGATCCAATTTCGCCTTCCTTTTGAGGCACATGCCTGCATCTGATCTGGTCGCCTGGGGTCAAACTTTTCAGAGCAACCCCTGCACCTTCCTGCGGGACACTGTACAGCCACGACTGGATCAGAGAACGGCCAGTGCTGCGAGAATTCTGCTCAAATGTACAGGTCTTTTTGCTATGAAGCACAGGCTCAGCCTTTTCTCGTGGCAACGAACAAGCTGCACACATGGTGCTTCATCGGGCACACTCAGCAGATTCTCATAGAGCTACTGCACCGTTGATAAATAGGCACGCATATTGAAGACCGTTCGATCCACCTGCCTTTTGATCGAAAACGCCACAAAACCACCAAGGTGCACGCGCGAGCCTCGAGCAATCTGTAGCCTCACCGCTCAGGAAATTACTTGTGTACTCCTATGTACCTTCTGCGTATTTGTGAGTCTGTGACCGTACAAATGCACCTTAGCAGAGATTTGAGGCCAGATCTACCTGAATAAAGCTGCAGGAGACAATCGATTTAGCTTCTCCACCCCTCTCCATCCGATGGTGTCCTCTCTATGAATGGCCCTTGCCGGCAACTAAGCGAGGTGGAAGGCAATCAAACTGCATTTTGATGGACCGTGGCCCGAATCACGAAGTGAAGTTGCTCGCTCTTCGAACATTCTGCAAGGGTCTGTTCAGTGACGATTAATGGTAGCAAAGAGGGGTTCCTCCTCTTCGTCAATGCATGCGAAACAAAGCTGGGCTTGACGCTAACGCATCGGTGGTAGAATACCAAACAAGGGTCGGCAGCATTTTGTACTGACCAGTGTAGGGTCCTGATGCATGTTTTGGAACACCAACCCTTGTAAAGGTGGTCATTGTCACAATGACGAAAGGCCTCTGTCTGACAGCTACAGCAAGAAGGACTCTGGTCGACATTTCGGATGGGCATGATGGAAGCGGAGGCATCAAATCAATGTATTTGGACACCGTTTCTGACCATGCCGAGAGGTGAGTTTGAAATGTTGGCAGACAGAGCTGATAGAAAGCCTTTTGAGAAGCGCCACAGTTTTCAGCAGTGGACTGAGAAGAAAGAAGAGACTGCAGGTCGGAAAAGAGCAATGTTCTCAGCTTCGAACTTCAGCTTAGAAACTGTCCTTTCCAAATAGGTGCATGTCTCGTTCAGCTAGCGAGTTGGCAGCTGCCCGCTGCTGTCCAGTAGTCAGACCACAATCGAACAAATCATTTCAATTCTCACGTCACTTTCAACCTTGTTGCTTGTATGCTAGTTCGAAGGTCAAAGGAGTGGATAGCTTGTGGATAATATTGTTGCACCACTGGAAAGGCAACATTGAGCGAATGTTGCTGCTTGCATGAAAGCGATGGGAAATGTATGGGGCTGATGTAAAAGTACACAGCTTCTCCTGATCTAAAAGAAATCGTTCAGTGTACGTGAACCCTCACTCTAAGACAGCGCTGACCACTTCTTCCATCTTGGCAGGAAGAAAAGTCACTCCATGGCATCAGCTCTGTCTCAAGAAGACAATTTGGACGAAGGTACGAGGTCGGATTAATTTGATATTGCTTCAAACTTCCACAGATGAGAGGACACTATAAGCTCTAGTACTTTGCCGACCTAAGAAATGAATGAAAAGCAGGCCCTATATCAAGCAGCAGTGCAACATTGTCCTCAACAAGTGAAAGAACGTCTTTAACTGAACCAGCAAGGGAGATAACCTCTTCAGATAGCTGGGAGTGAATCTATGGAGCTGGAGGACGATTGTGACTTCCAGTCGATTGCAGGTGACAATATGCTTCGCTGAGCATGCAACTGAGAGTCGCTTGATCGCCTGCCTTGCAAAGCCTTTATGCGTAAAAACGTTGTATGCAGATGGACGGTGGCGTCCTGGATCGGGGCCCTGGGAATACGAGGTTGAGGACGAAAAGGAGTTAGCTGCAAGTCGACCAAAGAAGCACATTCGAGGTGAGTGGACCCCAGGACAGACAGAGCGGGTCCAGCGAGATTGAAATATTTGAAACGAGTTGAGAACCATTGACGTGGCGACTTTGGAGAGTTTAGCAGCAAAAGTGCTGATCAGTGCTTAGAAAAATGACGCCTTGATTAGTGACGCCTAAAGCAGGGGTTTCTTCGTTCAAAAGTTTGCCGCTTCATCTGTTTCCATAGGATTTTCAATCCCAATCCCAACGTCGCAATCCTTGAACCCGCCTGGACAATTCCTTCAGTATGCTGCGATGGCTCGTCATAAGTTCCAACGGTCCTCAAATTCTGACTTAGAAAGTGCAGCAGATCATCATTTCAGAATCTACGCACACTCGGTGCGCGCAGGTTTTTCTCATGGGCTATTACGTCAGCAAGTCGTTGATGAAGACGGCAAAGATACCAGAATGAAAAGTCCCGTACTCTTACGAGCTATGTATAGTTGGCATGCAGACGCTTCATATCCGCCACCTTGAAGCCTCCCGTTTTCACACCTGCGCCGTTCACACTGTTTCCCGCCCTTGTCAGACCATGTGAACAAGCCCTTCCACAACCTGACCCTCTCCGACATCGAGGGCGCGCACCCGAAGCTGAAGCAGCCGTTCCGTCAGCCACGTGGCACCGACCCATTGGACCCCGCTTACGTCATCACGGCGTACGACGAGCCGGAGCCGGACGTCCCACGGTTCTCAAAGGACGCTTTGGACGTTTCGGACGTGGCGGGGGCCAGGCCTCGGAAAAAGCTGGTCCGAAGGGTGCGTTCGACTCGCGAGCGGCTTTCAGTTGGTTGTATGACCGGCCAAAACTTCTTCAAGAGCAACGGCGTATCCCTTTACGGAGTTCGCCATCTGACAAAGCATTTGCAAGCGTTTCTTGTGTTTCTGAAAAGAAGGCGGAATAAGGCTCAAACAACAGTATGCCGAACACAAAAGGATCAGACTGTCAGTCGGTGTTTCGAGTCCGTATTTCCGTTGTCCATATCGAGAAAGGAAACCGGTTAATCTAATTTTGCCATGTCTCGGATCCCTCGTCAAGACTATTTCTTCACTTTTCATCTCTCCCACGGTATTCTTAGTATTAAGAATTATTAAGAATTATTAAGAATTATTAGCTATTATTATTAATCATTAAGAATTATTTCACTGCATTTTGCAGATTACAGACCCTTTGAAGATCGACGACATACCAGGATCGACGGCGGCATGGAGGCCCCGACGATGGGCCCACTTTGGTAAGAGCTCTCGAAAATCCAAGATAAACAGCTAGAAAAGCCTGACCAGTACATTTGCAATGACCTGTCGTCACTTTCTTCTCAGGAACCTGCGAATCAATCATATGCACGATCAAAGAAGCGAAGCAAAGATTGAGCGAGCTTTCTGCCTTGACATGCTGTCCGACTCTGTCCTCAAAGGGTTGCTTGCTCCGCAACTTCTCACCATTTCTCGTTTGATCATCGATCCAACATTCTCTCGAAGACTTCTCACGCTCGTACGTCAGATACAAAGATCCTGAAGTGCGGTCGTCTGGAAGCTCATCTCCATCGCTTATGCTCTCGTCCGTGCGCGTATGCTTCCAGGCAAGGCGGGCCACATCCGGGACTTCAATCTGCACGTGCACGACATCAACGCGCGCGTGCAGCGGAAAGTGCGCGAGTCCACGGCCGAGATCTACGCGCCCGTCAAGGGCAGCCAGCCGAAGCAGCTCTTCCGGCAGCGGCGCAACCTGCAAGAACAGGATTTCATCATTCGGACGGACGACATTCCGGTAATCATTCTGCATTCTGCCGCATGAAGCCGTGCATTCCGGTGCGCTTTCGTTTGCCCTGGACCTCTGTTTGTAGATAGACAAGTAGATGGCACAAGAAAAGCACGCTTCTTGATCAATGAGCTACCAAAATGGGGCTTCGTCGAAAGCATCGGAGCGCCTGCGTTCTGCTCGGGAGTAGGCTGCAAGCGCTATCCAGCATCTGGTCCTTTTTCTGGATGTTTTGTAACCGTATCTAACACACTTCTCCCGTGTTTTAATGTCCTTGTTCGCCTTGTCAATGACAGGTATCTGATGAATTTCGGACGGTCGACCTTTTGCCATCAACATCTACAGTCAGCCCTTGAACATTCAAGCCTACAAGCAACAAGCAACTTCCTTACATGACGAACTACAGTCAACGTGCTGCAATTCTACCTTAAAATTCAGCGTTCGACTTTCCTGACTCTCTACAGGGCGCCCGGTCCCCGGTCAAAACGCGACCGGCGAGCGCGAAGCTCCACCCGACCAACGACCTGAGCGACATTCGCGGCGCGGCAGCCGCGAGCGCCAGCTTCAACGGCCGCTTATCCATCAGAAAGGCCGAGGTTCACGCGCGCGCGGAAAGGGTGCAAACGAGAGAAAGTTTTCAGAACGAAGTGCTGACGGCGGACCTGAGGGGGCGGATCGAGAGTCAAATGGGCGAAAAAACGACGAAAGAGGTCATGGGAGCGTTCAGAATGAAGGACCGGAGCGGCAGTGGTAAGCGGTGTCGCTAGCTTCTTGAACTCTCACTTGAACAACCTTCGCTTGTTGCTCTGCTATGCAGCTTGCGGCTTGAAATTCTACGCCTTGCAGAATACGAACAACAATTGAGTGACCAGTTCTGTAAACTCTTGTGGTGTCTCGATCGGGCCATGCAAATTTCCGTGCCGGTATCAAAGAACTTATCTGTGAAGCGGATAGATGCTTCAGGAACGGTACCATTCTACTCCCCTGCCTGCTTGAAAGACAAAAGGGCTTGAAATGCGGTTTCTGAAGTGGTCTTTCTGAACCCTTTTGCAGGCAAGTTGACGGTAGAGGAACTGGGACAGTCTCTGACACAGCTGCGGATTCCGGTAACTCCGGCGGAAGCCCAGAAGCTGGCAGCGGCATTTGACACGCAGCTGAGCGGTAAGCAGCAAAAACTTCGGGCGTTCCCTGCCTCTCTGGCGCGTCTGCATTTCTGCCGCCTACTCAGCCGCATTCTCATTTGATATATACGATATGTAAACCGACTACACCTCAGTTTCGCGGGCTCGCAACGTTCATCGATCATTGGAGCGGGTTTGACGACAGAATCTTAAGCATTCTTTCATTGTCCTCGTGTCGGAATGGCGAATTTGGCACGACAGCAAACCTCCGCTCATAGAAGTCAGGACGGGCAATGGTGCAGGTATAAACGTCAGCTGAATAACGTTCCGATGTTCGTGCAGGGTTCGTCGATTATAAGGACCTCGCAAAGTCCTTCGCTCCTCACCTCTTCCTGAAAAAGGAGGGGCCCACTTCGGGCCCCGCCGCTGGAAAGCCCGCCAGGCCCCAGTCAGCGCATCCAGTACTTGGGACGTTCAACAGCGTGACGAACAGGGCCCCGAAAGAAGTTGAGACTAGACTGGGCACAGGGTCTGCAACTCAGGCGTCCGCAGGGCCTTCCTTATTGGATAGCGGGAAAGAGAAGAAACGAGAAGCCTTGCCCGGAGGAGCTGTGGCAAGAGAAGAGGCGGAGAGGATGGAGAAGGGGTTTGCTACACGGCCTGCGAGTTCGAGTGGGAACACGTTCGCTTCGCGCACAGAGGATCGGAGTGTTCCGGGGGCGAGAGAAGGGACCGGAACGGCATGGGCGGAAAGATTGACACGAGGAGACGGCGCGGCCGAGGCGGTACCAGCAGAACCTGGGCTGGTGTCAATAGACGAGAGCCATCGGAACGGAGCTGCGTTCAGCGAGGTTGGACGGCTGCAGCGTCCGCAGGAAGCGGTTCCGTCCGTAGAGGGGAACCCTGCTAGCGGAACCCTTCCAAGCGGAACGCAAGTACCGGCGCCTATCTCGCTTTTTCAGGACTTCGTTAACGTGGGCGGTCCAAGCAGCCCGGGCAATCATCTCGTATGGGACTTGCAGCCGGAAACCGGTCGGATGCCGGGGACGGAACGGCTGCTGACGCCACCCCACAATGGATTACGCGCGCGGCCGCAGTCCGCGGCCGCGTGGGCGCAGAAGTCGCGGGGTTCAGGGTTTCAGGCCGCGACCGACAGCCGCGCGCTCGCTGTGCAGAACTTGAGGGCGCAGGCGATGTCGATCGGGCCGAGAAGCGCAGCGGATTCAACGGCTGAGATGAGCTCTGGGCCTAGATCCACCGGACGGCCGCAAAGCGCGCGCCCAGCGAGTTCTAGTTGGGCGTCTGGATCGTCTTACGTTGCGAGCACCCGTCACGCCAGTGTAGAATCGGGTCTCGAGCAGGTGCGGTCCGCTAGCGTTGTCACGGCCGATTCTGAAAGAGCGGCTCCAGGTCACGTGTCCAGTGCGTGGGTTGAAGACTCAATGCGCCGTGCGACCGTGACGCAGGTTAACGCTAAAACGGTGGAGATCAGGAGCAGACCTCAGTCGGCGCATCCTTCGATACGGGCTAATGCCACTGCTTCGTCGAAGCGGGGGGAAGAGGGCGGGTTCGAAAGGTCGACGTCGAAGATTGAGGCGCAGAGGGAGGCGCAGTGGTTGAAGCAGGAGATCGCAGCAGTCAGAGCCTTAGTATAAACCATTGACAGGTCGCACGAGGAATTGCTTTACACAGTATGTGGATATCAGGCTGGGGGTACTCTCAATGAAGGGCTTGCAGCCAGGAGGGCTTTTTGTTGAGGCTGGTTTCACAGAACAATTGTAAATATTGGATACTCAATCAGGTTATGCGAGGCTGCCGTTTGACACGAGCTGCATGCACACTGACCCTCGTAAGTGTCGCAGCTTAACGACTTTAGCCTCCTTTGAGTCGCTAGATCTCAAAGATGCGTGCAGCTTGCTACAAGAATACGAGGCAGGTTCGGGTGTTGTGGCGTTGTAGGCGCGCAAGAGCTGAGTTCAGTGTGCATGAACGGAAACTCGTACCTAGCCAGGAGGCTGCAACAAACAAGGGCTACGATCTGCGCATCCCGGAAGTTAACAAAGTTGTGACTGCGTTATGAATGTCTGTGAAAATGATATTCTTAAGCATGCTCCTGCGATCTCGCAATATGGTACTTAGTGTCGTTTCTCTACAGCCGCTGTACGGTAATCACTCAAACGGCACCCAGATATTATATAGCAGCTTCGCACCCTTGTCGCACATAAAGTGATCATGCTCCGACTTACATGAGATTTCAGACATTCGCCGTCCAGAAAGCAGCCTTACTGCCTTGGCTCTGCAAAAACGGGTACGAGTCCGAGTGGGCAGCAAAAGCCTTTGAGACACATTTGTGGCACTCGCAGATGACGTCGTTTGTGATGTCGCATACCCTTCCGCCTCACTTTGTCATAGCCAGCTGGCTTTCACACTGATTGACACTCACCTACTCGTCCACAGGAGTCACAGAATGCCGTTGACTCTATACCTTGACCAGGTGAACCCCACGTGACGAAAATGAACGAGAGTCGCCGGGGGTTTTTTGCAGAGGAGTTTTAGCATCCGGAGTTGGCCAACCGGAAAGTCGATTTCTGAAAGTGGCCCGCAGCCAACTCACTATTGAATGATTGTTCGAGGGTCAACCGAAAGTGCGGCTTACGTGGGCAGGATGTTGGGGGCCGTTCGCGGCTTGTTTTGTGCGCTGTGTCCTGCGACAATTAAAGCACTTTCGACAGCTGGTCCGCCCACCATATATGCCTGTCATCAATGAAGGATAACGTCAACGTTCAGAATAACAACCTTTGAAGCATCGAAGCAAACACAGTTGGGCGACATAGACGGTAAGCGTTTAGAAGGTGAACGCAGACAGTGCCCGGGGTTCTCAGCATTCCTTACTTCAACAGTAAACGCGCAACCACAGAAAAGCATATGCAAACGGCAGGGTATACCTTTAAGACATCATCTTGGATCATCCCGAAGTAGATAACGACTTAACAGCACCCTGAACAATTCGGGAGGTCCTGCATACTAAGTCATGGTGATACAATGAAGCCGAGTGAAGAAGGAAAAGTCGATGCTATGTGAAAATGCGAGTTGCCGGAACCAGGAATGGCATAGTCACCTCCATGCCATGCCGAATATGATAAGCATTGAGGCCTTGCTACTTCAGCAGAGTCAATTAGTCTCGCTCTTGAATGCTCTGCTGAGTGAAAAGGGCTCGCAATCGATGATTCGACGTCTGACAAAGCCGCACGAAATTTGCAAGAACTCTCACTCGCATTTCAGCAGTCAATGCAAGCCTTTTGCCTTTTATCCAAGGGGCCATCGTGTGACCCGTAACGCCCCGGCGACCAAATAGCCCGTATGCCTGCACTTCGGGTCTCAAAATTCGGTATGGCACATGATCGAAATCCTGGCGCCTGAGGACAAGGTATTCTTTGAAGGGGCTTCGAGGGGACCGCCGTGAAACCGCGTGGTTAGACGCCCTCTTAAAGCCAATCCTTTGACTTGGGGGTGGTGCATCCGCTGCCGCACCCTCCGTGCAGCGGCTCGTCCGGGATGGAGTGTAGCTACTCAAAGCAGCACAGGCGGCTTCAAAGAATGGACGCACTTGAGAGGGCTTGGGCGAATGAGTCTTCGGGGCCAATCAAAGTACCCTGGAATCAATCTGGAAGGCAACGTCTCAGTGGGTCACTGCCTGCTTGTGACCGGCTGGACAGGAAGTGCCCAAGAGTACAAGAAGTGTCGGGGTGGGTTTGGTGTCATGCATGGACAAGAGGCGTCTATCTGTCGGGGTGCTGAAGCGACTGACTTAATCTGATCATTTGAGGACACGCGAGTTTTGTAGGCACAATGGACCCAGATGTATCTAGCCATAAACTCTGTAGGCGGCTAAAAGTGCCGCTCGGAATCCACAGACTCCCGCCTATTCAAGCCGCCGCCCGGCGCTTCATATCACTGAAAACGGGCCAAAATGCGACTCGAATGAATGGTTTCAAGTTTGAGAAGACGTTGTGTGCGGCCTTTTTCCGATCGGCATGCGCCTTATTTCAGGCATCGGGCAGGCATTAGTCAAATAATAGGAAGCTTTCTTGCACCACACGAAAGCCGCTGGTCGTTTTATATATTGACTAATCTACTGATTGAGGGTTTACAAGGAAGGTGTATGGCGCATTTAGTGACGAAACTTGCAATATTGCGTCAACAGAGAAGAAGCAATGAGTGGACGTCTGGACTTGGATTACATAATTGCCACCGCAATGAGTTCGAGGAGCAATATCAGCCGTGAATCAGACGGGTGCAGGATACATGCGTTCACTCGTGTAGTAATTGTTAACTGTTTACGTAGGTCGCCCATTCAAACTATTCAAGCGGCGCGCAGAGTCTTACTTCATTACTTTGATGAACTGTATAGAAAAGTGAAAAAATACTGCAGCACACCGTCTGCGGCAGGCCCCTCAGCTGCTTTCTTAAGTTGGAACTATGGCTATGGAACTGAAGAACCAACTCAGAAGGAACTTGAGACCAACTTTGATGCTATGTGCCCGCTGTGTGCCGATGCCTGACGCCAATGCACATGGGCTGCGCTGGATGTACCTAAATGGCATCAACGCCTTCATCAAGCTTGAGCACCCAGTGTCCACCTGAACAAGCAACTGCATAATACCACTACTATTAAACAGCTCTTGTTCAGCGGTGTGCGTCGACCGAAAACCTACTTGTCCTCAAGTGTTGCCTTTGTAGTACCGCCATGTTGGAGGTACGGTACTTTTCAGGCCGAACTACTGCTTTGTTACGTACCTTTCGACCCATGTGGACCTACCGGACCATCTGATTGGCTCATAAATCTGGAAAGCTTCTTGCAGCTTTTCGGTCGACGCACACCCTAATGCCTGTGATGCGCTGGGATTCAGCCAATACAATACATGAATATCGACATACAAGCAATGCGTTGGCCAAGCCAACTTCAATGTCAAGGAATGAGTGCCTATCGATACTAGGGCATCGTGCCAAAACACATTCAAAGCGGTGCACTGAACTCCGGTATTCCGAAAAGTTGAGGGGGCCATGGTGGCCGGTTCTGAGCTAAACCCAAATCTGACGTTTGAAGGGGTATGGAAGCCGGTTTCGTTTTTCAACGTCTTTGACTTTCTTTCGGGGCGGGCGTATGAAAGTTGGTTTCAGGAACTACGAAACGTGATCAAGCTATTATAGGGTCCAGATACGTGTTTTGTGAGACGTTTCTGCCCTGTCTGAGCTGGAATGTCCAACCTGAACATTGAAAATACATCATAGGACACTGAACTCTACGCTAAATACGAAGGTGTTGACAACTTATAGTGTTATAGATATATGTACATGTGTCCGGTCTCTCAAAGCACCTGGCCAGGACGGGGTTATTTGAACGTGAGTTAAACACAACAAATCAAAGCACATTATCAAGCTTCGGTCGGGAAAAGAGGATGCGGTGCTAAATAGCGATAGGTAATTGGGGGCCGGCCGCCGCGTCCGCGTTTCAGTTGGCGGCCGGCTCCTACCGTACGTCGATTTGCAAATCAGATTCAATCGAACGGCCAGAATCAAGGTGGAAAGAAAGCGCGCTCGGCCGCCAGGTGTCGCCTTCATGGTGAGCGGCCCCTTTTCAACGAGGTGGGCCGCCACTACCGTAGTACCTAGTGGAGGTGGGCAATAGGTACGTGACTGCACATGCACTGACAAACGGATGGCTACAATTGCAAGGGCTTTTCATGGCGGGTTCATGGCGGCCGATGGCGGCGGATATGGCCAGCTGGTCATGACTGACGAGCTCCTACCAAGGACCTAGTCGTCTATATATAGAAGCACAAGAGGGAGTGTGCCCACTGCCTTCGATGAAGCAACGAATCCTTGGCGGCACAGTTCCTGCCATGGTGGAATGTGTTAGGATTGGGGGTTTGGCCAAGCCTTTTATGGGCGGAAGCAGGGGGCGGGCAGGGGGCAAGGAGCGGCTAGTTGCAGGAGGCGGTACTGGAGGTGGTTTTCATGAGCTGCTTTAACATTTGCTTTATACAGACCCTTTAGTAGCAATCACTCTTTTTGAGCTGCATAAGCAAGGGTCGCTCGGGGGACGCTCCTGCAAGAGTCACGAGTCACATTTCTTTTTAGCTGGTTCTTTAGTCCACTGCGCGGCACCATGGCTGATTCCGGAATTTATCCCTGCTTTGGTGGCAAGTTTGACATAGATGTACTAAAGCAGTGCATTCCTGAGCCTTGGAAGCATTTGAGAACGAAGAAGCAGTTCCTCAGAGATGCCAAACAGTGCTACCGCGAAGCCTGGAAGGAGGCAAAGAAACAGAAGAAAGGGACGGCGATACCCCATGAGAAACAAGTGAGGGCGGGTAAATTCACGCTGACCATACAAGTAACAAAGCCGGAACCACGGTGCGTCAACACCCTATGAGCGTTTGCATGGTTGTTATCTTTCTTGTGATTTCAAGTTGACACTTATTTTAGGCTATTCTTGATGTTTAGACAGACAGTAAGATTCAATGCCATGGTTTGTGGTAGAATCACACAACCAAGAGAGGTGATTGGTGGCCTCTGCTTGGTTTTTCGGTAAACCTGTTGATAGACATGCAGTGCAAAATATGATTACAGCTCATGAGCCCTTGAATGGACAGAGATGTCTGGGCATGTCTGAACAGCGGCAGACTCAAGCAGGGTGCTCTTGGATACTTGAATCCATGCACGTTGAGTAAGTTGAACAAAAACAGCGGACTCAACATAAAATTTTGCCTCTGTTTGCAGGTCCTGGAACATGTGGTGGACATACCGGTGGAAACCATTGTTCACGGTTGCTTTTTTAATCAACATATTGGCGCTAGCCTTCTCTATTGCAGGATGCGTTTCAGACAAGTGGGGGAAAATAGGTTCCGTTACTGTTGCAGGTGCGACTCTAATTGATTTCGTATGTTTGGCTCTTGCTCAGATGTTCAAGAGTCCAGTTGCATCTTATGAATTAGTCATTCCAAAATAGAAATTGCTCCGACTGCCTTCGTTTCGCTCTCAACTTTGATCCTTGACTGGCACACAATTGTCTGTTGTTGACGAGACCCCAATTAGCGCATGCATCTTGAATGCGGGTCGCTGCGAATGCCTCGGGTCAAAGCAGGAAGCCAGCCTTTCTGATTTGACGTCAAGGATTGAAGCGCACAGTAAATCACGGTGATTTCGAAGCAGGAATTAAAAGCCGTGGTCAGAGCTTTGATATGAGCCTCATTGAATCCGATATGGCCGTGCACTTGATTGTCAATTGCGCCGCGGCCGATTACATATTCTGGATTCCGTGCGCTACTAATGCATCGATCATTGAGCTGTTGTTGAGGATGCCAGGCTTGTCACCGGGCCCCGTATTTGAATCTGACCAATGGGAAGCATCGTGCCTTGATTGATGCATGATTGAGAATTCCGTGGTCAATGAGATTGACGTTCCGCCCCTGCCTTGGGCCCGCGTCTATTACTTTGTTCAAAAGTCAACGATTGGTCGGACTTCCATTTTTGCATTGTTACAGAAAGAGCCCCTGCAAAGAATCTGATCAAAATTCGTCACCGTCTCTACTGAAGTTTTGTCAAATTCAAGTTGTCCGCAGACATGAGAGTTGAAGCCGAACATCACTGATCTGGCGTCACCGTTGTGACACAGTGCGGCAAACCTCAACGAAGAAAAACCTGGTCGATCTACATGCATGCCAATTACTACCGGTCATATCTAGCTATATATTGGGCTGAGACCCGAATCGATCAGGTTTTGCCAGGGGTGCTTTGTTTGCTTTGGACTCTAGAGGAAGAGAGACGCGCGCAGTACATGCCCGGTTACGTCTGGGGAATTTGAACTGCAACGCATGCCCATGCAACTCAATACATGCCGGGATTTCAGCTGTGTAAAGCCAAATCCTCGAAGTTCCGATCGATGCAGACAGCTTTACAAATTGACGATCGACTCGGTCAATATGCTCAATTTAACCATGTGTCACCAAGCATGGGGCGTCGCGCGAATGCTCGTGAAGTACGTACTTTCTTTTGCATGAGCTCCGGCCCTGACTAAAAGGTGCGGCGGCCACGCTCAGCGGATGATACCGCATGGATTACTAGCTAGCATGTAAAGGTACCTAGTTCGCCGGATTTTTCACTTGTATGCAAAGCTGTTTGCAGCAAGAATATTCGACCTTCCGAGGGGATATCCTATCGAGTGCATACGGCCCGACAGCGTTTTAGGCAGCCCGCGCGAGTACCAATACAGTGGTCATCAGAGTTCAAGCTCAACTGCATGCAAATTAACTGGCTGTGGATTGGACTATACCACCCATCGTCCTCGATTTGGCATGTTGCATACTGCTGTCGCCATTTGAACGTGGTGAAAATGTTTCGTAAAAGGTGGAAGTGACGTTCTCTTCTCAAAACGCCGTAGCCACATGGACCAGATCATTCCATGGCATACGAGCAGATTAATGTTGTGACTTCTGCACGCCCGCCCCTTCGAAATAATCATCACTGTACTTGAACCATCAAACTCGAAAATCCTCACGATTGGTGATGCAAAATAGAGACGACAAGCGCAGCGGCTCCTTTCGGCGTAGTGAAGTAGAAAAAAGCAAAAGCTAACGGGACTATTGTACGTGATTCGGCCGTCGTTCGCCCCCTACCCGATCTTTGCAAGGACCAATGAGCCCCCATCTACCACCTGCTTTTGACTGTTGCACACGTTTATGCAGAACCGTTCCCAAAAAGCACCCTCAGTACATGAGACCCGCCAAAGCACTCTACATTCCGCTCGGGTAGCTCCCAGGCGGTTGCCATATTCCATCCCAGGCCATGCTTTTAAGATTATCAAATTTCAACAATTACACGGCCCACGGATAAAGTGAATAAACTTGGTGCAGATTCAGGTCAACCCTCATGCTTCTTGGAAAACCCTGCCCAGCTTAATGAGACCCTTGGCCCGTTCCCGGCGGACCTCCTTCGGAACGCTCTCGTCGACCACCACTTTCGTCACCACGTGCCGCAGCGTGCTCTCGATGTCGAGCACGCTCACCTGCAATACGGTGTTTCTTAGAACCAGAAAGACTGATAAATCAGAGTTTCAAACAAACCAGGGGCGAGGATAATGACGTGTCTCATCGTCTTTGTAGAAAGGGTGCCGGAGCAGACAAGCTGCATCTCCGTAAAACCTTGCCGAAAGTTATGACGGCTTTCAGTCTTGACACGATCGACAGGGATCGTTAAGCTTGGCGGCGCACCCCCAACAGATCGCCAGTATTTCTAGAACGGAGGTCTTGCTCAACGTCGGGCGCCCTCAGCCTTCAAAGACACCAATTTTGCATATATTCTGCGAACGTAACACGGAAACTACCAAGACCACTTGCTAGTTCCAAAGAAACATTGGCGTCTCGAAGATAGAAGATCAGACGCTCACCAGCCAGATGCTGTCCAAGAACACGGGAAGGGACTCTGCCGACAACCGGGCTTGCTCCTCGGGGGACTCCTTGTCAATCTTCTTCTTCAGGTCTTGCATCCTGTGCGGAAGGGGTGCGAATTGAGCAGACTGAGCGAGCCGTTCCTGCGCCTATGTCCGGTCTCTCGCTCCCTTCTGTTCCGCTCTGGAAAGCTTTTGCCAACGTTCACCACGCATTCAGCCTCGAGCAGACTACTAATCGCTTAAAATAGTCGTGTCCCCTCCGGTTCAAGCGGGTTGAGGCTTTTTATGAACCCGTTTGCAAGTGGCAGAATGTTCACCGTTCTGATCAGCGGAAGTCAAGGCCCCCGAAAAGAGGTGCCTGCAGATTGCTCCGTTGTATCCAGCCAGTCGCGCAGTTATTATCCATAGAAACGGACGTTAGGGGTACAGGTTTTTGACACTCAAGATCTTGAATCTCAAGCCTGACCATGTGGGCCACATCACTTTGCATATGAAGATACGCCTTCCGTGTCAACGTCTAGTCCTCATTCATTTCTACCTCAGCATCAGCGGCCAATCCAGACGAAAACCTTCAAACTCTTCTTCAACGAGCACCACTGAATTCGGACAGAAAGTTTCGTCCCTTCCGGGCTGAAGGCCGCAGTGGCCGCTTTTCCAGCTTTCTCAATATCCATTGTACAAGCTTCCGTGACGATGATTGAGCGAGCTTTCCGTACCGCTGCTCGAGCAAGCTTTCCTTCCAGGAATTGTCCACGGGAAGTTGCGCACCCTTTATCTACACGGCCGCGCTAGCCCCTTACCAATCCGTGTCACTACCCCCCCCCAGCTTTGAAAGAGTACTTCTCATGTGAAGAAACGCAACGCCCGCTGCGATGAACCTTCCTCGTTTCCGAGTAAAAAGAAGTTGTCAAGAACATGCTTTCTTCTTCCGTGTAGAGCTTACTTGAGAGCCGCGCTCGCTGCCTTGTACTTGGTCGCAAACACGTGACCGTGCTGACGTAGGACCGCAATGTGCCCCGGGATCCCGAGCGCCGTGTGGTGCAGCCCCAGGAGGACGTCCGCCTTCTTCTCGTACGTGTACCTGGAAAAAGGAGGTTTGCATCAAAAAAACGGGTTAAGGGAGAGCTTTGGGAACACGATTCAAAGCTATGATGGGCTC